CCTTCATGCATATTCAAGTGTGCAAATGTGTCTTTCTTAGCAGCCAGTCTAGCCTGAGAGGGCGCCATGGGGTGGCCAGGAACTCCCAGTCCCTGGGAAGTGATTTATAAAAGGCAGGGGGATGAGTTATGGGGAAAGGAATAGGCAGTTCCTTCATAAAAATCTTGGCTTCCAGCAATTACAAGGAAAACCACTGTGCACATTAATACAGCTCGTTTCGGGGAGCATTAGAGAGCTAGTGCTCCTGTGAGTCATACAGTTTCGATCTAGCCCACCCCGTTTGCAACATGCTGGCCCTCCACTCAGATAAACCTCATTCTCGGCACCTTTGATGACCCTGGGAATTGTCCTGTGCCTGTCCTGAAGACGCGAGAACAATCTGGTGGTCTTTAGCCAGTGTCAGGGGAAGGTGCACACAGCTTGTTTCAGAGGGACATCTGGATTCAGCATGGCCTGTCCTTTACTGAGGTACTCAGGGACAGGCTGGAGTGGAGCAAGCTGCCAGCCCCCCAGACAACTTCTCAGACTCAGACTGGGTGGGGCTAGGAAAACCACATTTTGTCCTCTGTGGGACAGTCAGCCTCCAGAGTTCCCTGAAGTGTAAGAAATGGCTCCAGGAGCACAGTGGCTTCCCCAGGGTTCCTTATACACTTGTCTGGACTCCCCATGGAAGGAAGGTGTGATCACCCTGGCATGGCTCCCAGAACATCTGTCCTTTTATCTCCCAAGGGTTCAGGCTCCATCTTCCTGGCAGACTGACCTTGAACTCCTAATCCTCCTGCCTCAGCTGCCTGAGTGCTCACTCGGCTGAGCCAGCATGCCCCACTCGATACTGTTCTTTTGTCTCAAAATGTTAGTCCATTTTCCATCCACTTGTGCGGGCTGCCTGTCCTCTGCAGGTATAGGCATAGGGTTGTCCTTGGTGCCACAGAGAAGCCTGGGAAATACTTCTCCCTCTGCAGGAACGAGGGGGTGAGCTGTCCCTCCTGGGAGCCACTGTCCCTGAGTGGTACTGGTGAAGGGGACAGGGACAGCTGCCAGGTGCTCTTGTTCCTGGAACTGCAGCTAGAGGCTTCAGAGTAACCAGTGTTCCTCGGGGATGGTGTGTGTGTGTGTGTCTGTCTGTCTGTCTGTCTGTCCTACCTTCTCTGGAGTTCACTGCAGGTGGAGCTGGGAATGAAGGCTTCAGCCTGGGAGGCCAGTATGGCAGCTGCAGACACCACTAGCGAGATGACCCCAGCCTTGCTGGATGCCATCCTGGCATCTTGTGGGGAAACATGGACAGCTTTAAAGGCACGGTGGATGGTTGCTGTGTGGAAGGTGGGAACCCCACTCTGGTGTAAACCCAGCTTCTAGCTGTGTGGTTCTAAGCAAATGCTTGGTTTCTCCCGGCTGGGCACCAGCATCCAATTCCCTAGTGAGCCCCGAACTCTCTGTCCCAGGGTAGTGGACCCTGAAGAAAATCTGCCCAGCCTGCACACTCCACTTAGAGGTTTGTTGTCAGGTGAGGTCAGATGGTCACCTAATGGGGCAGGAGGAACCTCCTCACTCAGAAAAAGAACTCATAAATTACCAGCAGAAGCCAGGGAGCCCTCCCCCTTCTTTAGGATGATGGAAAGGCTAGCTTGGGGCCATCAGCTCCGGTGAGGAAGAAGGCAGATTGAAAACTTCATCACCTATGGGCTGACAGTAGGGTCCTCCCCCACTGCCCACTGGGCGAGCACCAGCTCAGAACAGGCTCTTTCCACTCTGTTGTCCTCTCTGCCTGTTGGCCACACTGCCCTCTGCTGATAACCCAGGCAGAGTGTTAGCACTCTCCTGGAGGGGAGGGGATGGCAGGCAGGAAGGCAGGTTGTATGTGGGTAGGGGTGGCTCTCAGAACTCAGGTCATGCCAGGGAGGTGGGCATGGAGACTGTAGAAGTGACTTAAGGAAGAGGGTCAGGGAGGTCCTGGACTAGTAGCATGGCCAGGCTGGGCACTAGCTTCTGGTGGCTCACTCGAGGGCAGCAGAATTGGAGCCCTGGTCTTCCGAGGCCAGTGCTTTCCCACATCCCAGCCCACAGCGTCTCCGTCTGTGGAGGGAGGAAGGGATTCAGGTGCAGGTCACCAGAGATAGTCAGGGTGGTACCTTCCTGCCTCAGGCACTGCTAGGTGCAGAGGGGAGGAGGGGAGTCAGGGCAGCCTCTGTGGCCCTGGAGGAGTTGAAAGGGTTCATTCAGACCCAGTGCTTGGTATGGACTCCACGGCAGACGATGGCCTCCAAGCTCCTCCACATCCAACTCTCTCTTCTTCAGAGAGATTCTTCCCTGTCCTTGCCTTTCTGCCAGCCTCCACCAAATGCCCACCTTCTCACCCCCTCTCCACCATCCCCCTGCCCTCACGCTTTCTTCTTTCTCAACCCCACTTTCTCTCGACTCTGTTCAGACTGTGAACACCAGAGAGTTAGTACAGCCTAAGTGTCCATTTCAACGTTGTTTAACTCCCAACCAGGCACAGGGAAGCTTCGTGGACAGAGCCCGGGCCACAGTCTGTCTCTGCTGAGTCTCACGTCCCCCAGTCCCTCCACAGAGGGCTCAGACGCCTTCTCAGTCTACTGTTCACATTTAATTCACTCCATGGAAATCGATGAAAACTTTAAATAAAAAAAAAAGCAAAATCCAATTGCTGTTCGTTTTCTCGATCCAGCTGGCACCCCGCTTGTCTCCTGCATTTGTGTGCGCTCTAGTGGGTAGTGTGGGGTGAGGGGGGCGGGGGTTCAGTGTGTGATCAGGGCTGCCTGTCTTCCTCACTGGGGGCTCCAGCTCAGTACTCAAGGGCAGGTCTCTCCCCTCCAGTCACTGCGCCTGGCTGGTTGAGGCTTTCTGTGGGCTCTCCCTTGGGACCAGATTATCTTTAAGTCCAGACCAAAGCCACCGTGGTAAGCAGGGTTATGTCCCTGCTGAGTTCTGCTGGGTTCCTGACTGACCCCCACCAGAACAGCCTTGCTCTACTTCCCTCTGCTTCTCTTGGCTGCTCCCACACCATGTGTGGCCCCCTCTAGTGCCCTGAGAGGCAGCTCCAGTAACCAGGTCTGAAGGCTGGTTAGATACTGCAGATGGCACAGGGCTGGAGAGGTCAGTTACCCAGAGAGCTTGGGGCTGCCGGGGTGCCCACTGTCCTGCCCTACCTACTGCCATGGTTGCTTACACCTGAGTGTGGTGTACATGGCCTGGAGGACTCTTTGCTTGTCTTGTGCCATCCCTTAACCTACTGTGCCCTTAGATACATTTTTTTCCTTGTGGAGCCTGTTAACCTCTGGCCACAGCGATGGCAGCTCCAGATAGGGAGCCTGGATTCCTCAGCCTTGTGGAAACCATGATTAGGGCCATGATACTGGGCTTCCAGAGGTTTCCAGATGCCTCTCTGTGAGTGAAGCCCACCTCACCCTTCTGGCCGTAGGAAACTCAGTGTCACTAGCTCAGATGGTAGCTGGGTCTGTAATTTCGGCACTCCAGCGCTAGAGGCAGGAGGATCAGGAGCTTGAAGCCAGCTTCAGCTATGTATCTAAACTGAGGTTAGCTTTGACTACCTAAGATCACTACTAAAAAAAATAATAACAACAACAAGAAGGTTGAATGTTGTGGCACACAACCAACACTCAGGAAGTAGAGGCAGGAGGATCTCTGTGAGTTTGAGGCCAGACTGATCTACAGAGTGAGCTCCAGGACAGCCAGGGTTACACAGTGAGACCTTGTCCTGACAAAACAAAACAAAAACAAAGAAGGAAAGAAAAGGAAAGGCCTGAAGCAGTCATTTTCCCTGGTTGACGATACCCAGACATACATAGAAACCACTCGTGATTCCCCGGGGCTCACCAGTCAGCTGCTCCAGTCTACTCTGCATGCTCCAGGCCAGTGAGAACAACTCCTGAGGAACAACACCTAGGTCAACCTCTGGCCTCTACCCACATGCCCACATACATGCATGTGCACCTACATCCCCACAGAAGCATGTTCACACACATAGTTATACACACCAGACAGAAACAAAGCAGAAAACGAACACCCCAGCCCGTTTCCATGACAGCCCTTTCTTTCCGTCCTTGCAGGACGCTGCTGAGTGTCCTCAGGCCAGCACTCCAGAACTTCATCTTCTGCCTGTTAGACACTGCGTCGGAAGGAACGTCTCTTCAGTCTCCCAGAAGGCCCTCAAGAGAGGAAGTGCTCAGATGCTGCACCGGCTGGTTTTGTGTCAAGCTGACACAAGCTAGAGAGGAAGGAGCCTTAGTTGAGATCTAGCTGTAAGGCATTTTCTTAGTGCTCAATGGGGAGGGCCCGGTCAGCTGTGGACGGTGCCATCCCTCTGCTGGTGGTCCTGGGTTCTATAAGAAAGAAAGTTGAGCAAGCCACGAGGAGCAAGCCAGTAAGCAGCTCCCTTCATGGCCTCTGCATCAGCTCCTCCCTCCAGGTTTCTTCCCTGCTTCAGTTTCTGTCCTGACCTCCTTCAGTGATGAACTATGATCTGTAAGTGGAAGCCAAATTAGCCCTTTCCTTCCCAACTTTCTTCTTGGTCATGGTGTTTCATCACAGCAATAGAATCCCTGACTGGCACAGGTACATGCGGCAGCATCTCAATCAAAGAGAGAGTCCAGAGCCAGGACTTCATAGTCCCTAATGCTGCCAAGAGGCCAAGGCACAAGAGGCAAACGGTGCAACCGTACACATACCTGCCCGGGAAATGTGTGACAGTGGTGACTGAGTCACACACACTGTGACTGTTGGCTGGTGCCATTTCTAGAACGTGCACTGCGGGTGTTGTGGTTGGAAAGAAAATGGCACCCACAGGGAGCAGCACTGTTGGGAGGTGTGGCCTTGTTGGAGGAAGTGTGTCACTGTGGAGGCGGGCTTTGAGCTCTTTTGCATAAGCTTTGCCTCGGTGTCACAGTTGACTTCCTGTTGCCTGCCAGATGTAGAACTCTCAGCTACTCCTCCAGCACCATGTCTGCCTCCATGCCACCACCCTCCCCACCATGGTGATAATGGACTGAATTCTGAAACTGTAAGTGAGCCAACCCAATTAAATGCTTTACTTTGTAATAGTACTTTGGGTGGAAGTAACACCCCAGCCCCTGGCATCCATATACCCAAAGAGTCTGGAATGTTGGGGTGGAAGCTCCATCCCAAGTCCCCTCCCCTGGGAGTTGCCTCAGTCCAGATTCTGCCCCTGCCCCCGAAAGCCCATCAAAGGATGACCCCTCCCCAGAGATGCTCAAGACCACTTCCACAAGATATTTAAACTGCACCCCAGAGGACAAACATGTGGTTTTTCGGTCTTTCTTCCCTGTCTCCTCTCTGGTGGGCTGGAAAGCCATCCGGGAACATTGGTATCCATTAAACCTTGACTTTTTCTAATTTGGTTTGATTTGATCTGATTCGGATTATTGTGTTGGTGGAGTGGATTATTGGGGTGCAGAAACTTTTCAATAGCTGCCAAGGTCATTGTGTTTCTTCACAGCACTAGAAACTCTAACTAAGACAGGTGTAAAGTCAGCCACCCCACAAGGGCTGAGCTCTCCTTTCCACCACTTAAAAAATGGGAAACTGAGGCACAATTAATAATCTTACTACAAGACCTCTTCATTCAAGGGTTAAGGCTGGGAGTGGCTAGGCTGGAGGGTGAGTGAGCCTTGTGGGAATGTAAGGCACACAGATGCAGTGAGCAGCTAGGATGGAAGTGTGGGGCTCTCAGGCCCTGAGCAGGGGATTTAAACTTTGTGCTCTGTAGGGGGTGTGAGGGAAAGCAGGAATGCTAAACTCTCAAGGTAGCTGTGTTTTCACTCCCCCCCCACCAAGGCTGGGGTGGGTGTGGTTAGTAAGGTCGGCCATGCTGACTTCCCCGACCCTTTTCAAGAGCTTGTTCACCTGGAGCCTGCTTGCTCAGTTAATCTATAGAAGCCATTTTTATGGAAGATGTCACTTGTACTTTATAAGAGTTTCAATGTAATCATATCTTATTTTTTTTAATTTTTTAAAAAATTTTTTCCCTGAGACAGGATTTCTGTGTGTAGCTTTGGAGCCTGTTCTGGAACTCACTCTGTAGACCAGGCTGGCCTCAAACTCACTGAGATCTGCCTGCCTCTGCCTCCAGAGTGCTGCATTAAAGGTGTGTGCCACCACCGCCCAACCACTCATGGTCTTGTCAATGTTTATGTACTTTGGGACAGGGTCTTGCTATGTAGCCCAAGCTAACTATGGATGTACTATGTAGACAAGGATAGTGAACTCCTCCACTGCCCTGAGTGGTTGATTGTAGGCCTGGTCAGTATATCTTACCTGGGACATCTTGAATGTTTAGCAGACAGGAATGTGCTATCACTTTGCTCACAAAAGAGTCACAGAGGAAAGTTCTGGAAACTCTTGGCTGCTGTGGAATGATCCCTTTGTACACTGTGAAGATTTATTGTTGTGACTCATTTAATAAACAAGCTGACTGGCTAATAGCTGAACAACATAAAGTTAGGCAGAATGGCTGGAGAGATGGCTCAGAGGTTAAGAGCACTGGTTACTCTTTCAGGGGTCCTGAGTACAATTCACCGCAACCACGTGGTGGCTCACAACCATCTGTAATGAGATCTAGTGCCCTCTTCTGGCCAGCAGGCATACATGCAAGCAGAACACTGTATCCACTAAAGGAGAATGCTGGGAGGAAGAAGGGAGGAGTCGGAGAGTGGCAAGCAAAGGCAAAGAAGCCAGATGAGAATGCCGTACTGAGGAAAGGCACCAAGCCATGTGGCGGTAAATAAGGAATATGGGTTAACTTAAAATGTAAGAGCTGGTTCGGAATAAGCCTGAGCTATTGGTCGAGCATATACAATTTATATTAAGCCTCTGAGTGATTATTTGGGAATAGGCAGTCGGGACAGAAAAACTCCACCTACAGACTCCCCGTAACTGGAGTTACAGATGGTTGTGAGTCATCATGTGGGTTCTAGAATCTAAACTTGGGCGGGTCCTCTACAAGAGCAACAGGTGCTCTTCTCTTGTCTGCTGAACTGTCCCTCCAGTCCATGGACTGCTGTTTGAGTTTCTGCTCCTTCCTTCTTTCCTTCCTTCCTTCCTTCCTTCCTTCCTTCCTTCCTTCCTTCCTTCTTTTTTTGCGGATGAGGGTGTGTCTGAGACAGAGTCTCGCTACATAGCCCTGGCTATCTTGAAACTCACTACGTAGACCAGGCTGGCCTTGAACTCACCGAGATCCACCTGCCTCTGCTTCTTGGGTGCTGGGATTAAAGGCCTGCACCACCACAGCCAGGCTCTCTTTTCCTGTTTCTTTTGATGAAACATTCTCTGGGGAGAAACGGATTATACAGCTCACAGTTCAAAGTTCACAATGGCAGCGAAGTCAAGGCAGCAGGCGCTTGAAACACCTGGTCACATGACCACGGTCAGGGAGCGGAGTGGGGTGAAGTGGGGTGAATGCTCGCCAGTCGGCAGCGCCCTTCTCCACCGCAATCAGTTCAGTACTGCAACCAGGCTTTTTCCTTTGGGCCACCAACCAGCTCCCAAATCATGGTGTGGAGACTTGTTAGTGTTGAGTGCTCAACCTTATCTTAGGTTTGTTTCTGGCTAGCTCTTTTCACTTAAATTACCCTGTTTATCTATCTTTTGCCTCTGGGCTTTTTACCTTCTTTCTATGTCATACTTTCACTGCTTCTTGAATCTGCTGACTGGCTGGCCTCTGGCATCCCCCACTTTCTCTCCTCTCCTCTTGTCCTCTCTGGAGGCTAGAGTTCTCCTATTTATTCTCTTCCTGGAAGCCCCATCTATCCCTATCCTGCCTAGCCATTTTCCATTCAGCTTCCTATTAGACCAATCAGGTGTCTTAGGCAATCAAGGTGAAAGAGATGCAACACATCTTCACATAATTAACACACATCCTTACACCATTAAATAAACACAGCACAAACAAAAGTAACACACCTTTCCACAGCGAAGTAACATTCCACAACACAGGATCCCATCCACAGCTAAGATGAGGTTTCCACGATGAACCCCTATAAGCACATCCCAGATGATTCTAGATCCACTAACAGCCACATCCAAGGAGCCTAAACAGTTCAGTGCCTTTACAGAGAATGTTTGCCTGTTGGTCCTTGGCAGCCTCTGCTGCCAGGGAGGACAGCTCACCAGGCTGCACAGATTGCTCTTTGACAGCTCACCGAGCAGGGCCAACTGTGTGTGAGGGTGCAGAATATCAGCCCATTTTACATGTGGGAAGACCAAGATGAAGCAGCCAGGTCCAACCCACCCACCCATGGAGCTGGCAATGCCAGGATTTGGATCTGGGGCAACTGCCTTAAGAGTGCACATTTTAGCCGGTGCTCTTCCCCCTCCCGCATTGGAGAGTAAACACGGCTGTCTCCAGCAGGGCACACGCTAGCTGGCTAGCTGAGCACTGCTATCTCTTCCAGGTGTCCAGGAGACCTGTCCCCGTAAGCTGTCCCAGCACGCCACACAGTTCCAGCTGGCCAACCAAGCTGAGGGCATGAACTAGGTGAGCTGAGGGTGGATTCAGGCCTTTCTAAGAGGCCCTGGAGACTTGTGGCTTCTCCTGAGGCCCCTTACTAGGAGTGTGGTCTGGAGGCACCTTTGTCTGAGAGAGAACTGGGATGGGACTGTCTTCAGTGGGGGATGGAGAATGCAGAAGGCATGAGAAACTGAAAATGGCTGGCACCTCCAGTGTCCCTGGGTCTCACCGGATCTGAGGTGTCTGCAGTACTATAGCAGGGCAGCTGTGGTTTGTGGTGAGGGAGGGAGAGATCTGTAAGCAGCATGTGGAGCCACAGAAGCGACTGGACTAAGTGGCCTTTCCTCCTGCCTGTTGGGGGCTGCAGACCCCTGGCCTGTTGACTGAGGTTTCTGTCCCGCCCGGTTCTCACAGTCAGTCAGTCCCAAAGAAACACACAGTGGTCTACATTAGTTATAAACTGATACCTAGTGGCTAAATCTTCTTAACTTTTATAACTTATATTAACCCATAATTCTTGTCTGTGTTAGCCATATGGCTTTGTACCTTTTTCGGCGAGGCAGTCATATCTTGCTTGCTCTGAGTCTGGCTTCTCTGTATCTGACTCCAGACAGAAACTTCCCTCTTCCCAGCATTGTCCCACCTCTACTTCCTACCTGGCTACTGGCCAATCAGAGTCTATTTAAAATACAAGTGACAGGGTATAGACCATTGTCCCACAGAACTGGCCCCTTGACTTTCTTTGCCTGCCTAGGACCCTTTGCCTGCTGAAGTGAACTGAGCAAAACAACTTGTTTTCCTGTGCCTGCAGGTGCTCTGAGCACGAGACCCTCATGAGTTCCTGACGGCAGGGGTGTGGATTCTGGTGGGCTTTACAGCTGGAAATCTCAACAGCTGGGGCGTGGCTATCAGTTAAGGATCCCTATATAAGCTTCCCTGGAGCACAATAAAGTTGGCATTCTTGTTTCAAGGATGACCCGTGTCCCCGTGTCTCTGTCACTGTGTGTATGTTTTTAAATCTCCAACATAGTTCCTGGCTTGCGTACCATCCTGTCCCATAGTGCAGGCTCTACACCTGCCCTTTCTTGGTCATCTATGTAGACCGGGCTGGTCTCAAGCTTTCAGCAATTCTCCTGCCTCTGGATGGTGGGTTGACAGGCGAGCAGTGCTGAGGTTAGCTCATTTGGTATTTTCTAGTCATGGTTTCTGCATTAGAAATGGAGAGAAGGTCGGTTAACAAGTCCAATAATGACTATTTTGTCTTTGCCGTGTACCTCATCTCTCCCCACAAATGCTCAATTAGTGGTTGCTTTTCCTGCTAAGAAACTGGACAAAAATAGGAAAGCAAAATCTATGCTCATCATTTTCCAAATGGGAACTGTCACGGATGCACAGGGCTGGTGAGCGACTGAAAACCCAGCTCGGGCCTGGGAAAGGAAGCCACAGAGCTCCGAGGAAATGGCTCAGACCACATGTGGGCACTTGATGGCCTCCTTCTCTCCATAATGGGCAGAAGTATTCGCCACTTAACGCTCTTAACCTCATGACCTTGAAAATATCGTTGCCACATACTTACAGAACATCTTCATTAAGGGCCTGGAATGAGGCGGCAAAGACATGCTAATTAAATTTGCAGACGATACTGAATTGGAGATCATAGCATCAGGGAGGACACAGAATGAGCACAAGGCGGTGTCCAGGGGTCAGAGCTATGATCTGGAAATGGTCCTGAGGGCAGGCTGAACTTACCTTACCAAGGTCCCCAGGATACAGGATGTGGGAGAAGATGGAAAGAGCAGGAGATACCCGAGAGCTGATGGGAGGAGAGGCAGTTCAAACATGGCCTCGTTTTCTAGACGCTTCCCTCATAGAGGAAGAGGACCATGGCTAGAGGGAGGTGGTGCTCAGATGAGCAGAAATAACCCAGGATTTCTGGTAGTGTCTGAGCTGAAGGCATAAAAATGAAAAATGAAGGGTCCTGAAAGGTGTTGTGCTCAGAAAACTGGTAAGAATTAAACGTGCAAGGGTCATCTTAGGCAAAGGCCAAAGAGAGGCGAAGAACCCAGAGGTGTTGCTGAACCTCACACTCAAAGTCCTCAACATCCCTTGCAGAACTGGAAGTGGAAACCTGGACCTGGGAGCAAAAGTGTTCAAATCTAGGTCAAGCAGAGCACAGAGAATGTCTTTCCGGCCCCAGGGGTGACCCGTGGGGTTCTTTCGTTCTTTTCCTTCTGTGACTCTGGCTCCTCTCTTTTGCTGTTGTTGCTTTCAGGACCCACAAATCATTTATGCTGCACAGTCTGCCACCACCCAGAACCCCACGATACTGACATCAGGCGACGGGGAGGGGAACAGCCAAACGAGGATCCATCCTGCACTAATTTCCAATTTGCTGAGTGTCTTGTTTACGTGTTATATCTGCTGCTGGCATTAACATCGTTGTGTCTCCAATTTCCTGCGGAGTCCACAGAACACGCACAGGAAGCCTGGGCCCCGAACAATCTGATCAAATGCATTTCTGACTATTGACTATGGGTGCCGGCCACCTGGGACTCAGCACCCCTGCTGACTTCCTGGTCAATATTTCTCTGAGTGGTTAAGATACTTCTAGAAATGTCCTAATCCCTAGCTTGGTTCTGGGTTCCGTTTCTATTTATGGACAATTATCTCAAAAGCTACCGCCATAAAACTTTAGGAGGTGACTCGGCTTTGTTTCCAGGGACAGGGTCTGGGTACCGAGAGCAGGCCTCACGGCTGAGTGGCTGCAGGGTGGAGCGTGTTCTTTCCGCACTGACGTGAGTCGAGGTTAGGGTACCGGATCTCTTTTGAGTATATATGTATTTATGTTTTCTAGAGATAGTGGATGTGTTGGAAGAGACAACGATGGCTCTGTAAGTGGTGCCTTAGCGACAAGGAAAGGCCTCTCCTTTCTCTCCATCCCCTGGCCAGGCAGCTCCCGCCTCCCTAATCCAGGGCACCAGGCACTAGAACAAGGAGACAGCGACAGCTGACACGTTTTCATAAATGATTAAGGAGGTCCGCGGTGCGGGGAAGTTTGCACTTTCATGTTTAAGGAGGAGAGAAGTCTTAGTAGAGGTTTTCTATGCTGGGAGCCGGAGTTGCCTGAAATGTCAGCCTGATCCAGGGCAGACTCGTTAAGGCGCCAGGTTGTCCAAACTGCTCTTTTCATCACATCAGTGAGCCTTCGTCTTTCCCTTCCCCACATCTGCTGGGCTAATGGCATCTGGATTTGGGGTCCTACCAGCAGCTGTGGATGGAACAGCTGGTCCCGTGCAGCCCCTGTGATTGACAGATGTGAAGGGCCGTCACAAGGAGGAGACCTTGTGCTGGGGAAAAAAAATCCCGCTTCTTTGTGGATCAGGGCTGGGTGACTGCATGGGGGTCTCAGGAGGTGGAGGGGCTGGTGGAGGAGGGTGAATCCGCACACACGAGTTTACTGGTCAGAGCTGACGCTGAGGTGTGTATGTGGGTGGGAGGCACTCGCAGCCCCAGACCCCTGTAGAGCTTAGGACCCAGATCTTTTTCAGATGTTGGCTGAGCCTTCTTAACACCATAACCAGCAGCTATAGCAGCCGAACACCACATTTGGCTGAAGCCTGCACCAAACAGGTCCTAAACACCAGTCAATGCAACCAGAAGCGTGATCCCATGTCCACCCTGGAGCTTGGGCAGACAGGATGGCTTTGGGGGTTTCTAGATAACCACAGTCCTCTTCTCCAGACCTGACCAGCGTCCTG